TAGATCAGATTTATTGAAAGGGTTACAAGATTAATTCCTAGAAAACCTAGTACGGAATTTATAAGAAGGAAAACTGAGAAAAAAGATGTCCCCAACAGAGTAAAAAATTGCAGTTCATGTTATTCCTGGTGCGAATCATTAAAAAATTTAAGAATGAAGAAATAACCACCAAATCTTGTAAGCTGGTTTTTTATCATCAAAACTAGTTTCTTTATTTTGAAGGTATCATTAGTGTGTTAAATATGTTAAACTATCGTGAATTACATCTTGAATGTTAGATATGGGCAATTTAAATTATCCCAATAAATTTGCACTTGATGTAAAATAAATTTTATTTGGAGGTGAAAGTTATGTTGAGTCAAGTCTAATTTTCAAGAAAGGTTGAGTGTTGTTTAATTTAACATTGTGTGTCTGAATATAACTATCAACTTGACTACTATTTTATATATTTTGATAATGTAGACAAGCTAGAAAAAAATGTAGCTCATGAAATTTTGCGGTAAAAAGAAGAAAATAAGTTAATTTGACGATTTGGAAGCGAAAACAGCGGTGGTTGAGGGGGCAGCGCCTCTCGTGGGTTGCCCCCGAAAGGAATTTTGATTTTTATGTATGTATGACATTGAATATTTTCTAATTTTTTTGAGTTAAATTATTAATAAATGAAATTGTATTTATAATTTTTGTAAAATGTAAATAAGTAGAATTTTTGGCAAAAAAAATAAATTAATAAAAAGGCACGGATGCGGAGACACGGAAGGAATTTTGATTTTATGTATGTATGGAATGAAGCAAAAAATTTAAAATGTTGCCCCTGAATGGAATTCTATTTTTTGTGTATGTGTTGAAGAGTATCTTTTGGGAATAATTTTTTTTAGCAAATATCAAAACTGATGAAAGTAGGGGAAAATAATATTTTTAATGGTCATGTTAAAAAAAATATCTCATGGAGCAATTGCTCCGTAAGCGATTTTTTTTTTAAACAATGCTATTAAAAATATTACTTTTTTTTTTTCTAATTCCATCGTTTTTGGTATTTGCTAAAAAAAAAAAAAAAAAA